GACTCGTATAATTTTGGAGAAGATACATTCGAATATATAAAATATCTCTTCTATTGCGGAGCAATGGCTCTTTGAGCTTACGTATATTAGAAAAAGTATAAATAGATATTTATTTATTTAATGTAGGGAGAAGAAAGCCGACCTATCCATCTGCCATATATATTTTTTCGGTTGGCAACTTCGCATTCAAACACATGCTTCAATTAGAAACGTATTACGTAAAAATCAGTTAGCCCAGATCGTGATCACAAAATTAAATCGTCACGTTATAATGAGCCTCAAGGGAGAAATGTCATGTGTTTTAAATTTGCGAATCAGAGATCAGCATAGAAGTATTTCGGAGATCTCGTAGAACATACATGACCGAGTTGGTTTATCTGATAAGGGCGGAGCCCCATTGTTTCGCAATAATGCGCCGTTACCGTTACATGATCTATTGTTAAATCTATTTCGGGATGTACCACAAGCATATAATTAATTTCCCGGTGTCCATGCATCACATTAAGAGCGGAGCGCATAGAAAAATCGACCCCAATACAAGATACACCACATGAAAATATCGATATAATATATAATCTCCCCAACTCGAATACTTTATTAGCTATCGCGAGGAACTTTTATTCACAACGAGGTGCTCGCTAAAGCCAATTTAAGCTGTTCGAATACTTTATTAGCAAAGCCAGTATGACCGATACAATAAAAATACATGATAATTTATACAATATCTCTATATTTACCTAATAATTATAGGGTGGAGATGAAACAATAGGACTCGGGTGTATATTTCGGGGTGGATGAGTATTAGCTTGTTCTAATGCCTGTATTAGTAAGCTCTTATTAACGATCATGACGTTTCTTAAGTCAATAATAAGCGAACGAGAGCTTTAGTATTCGATGCGTGTGGTGATAATGGAATTTCAGCATTATCAAGATGGAAATATCTCGGTATACCACCCAGATCCTTCATAAGAACATTTAATCGCATAGTAGTGCCAGCGATTTGTATTCCGACAATCCCAAATTGATTGCCAACCGGTCTACACAGCGCATCCACAAAGCTCACTCCATCTAAAGTCTCTCTCCACAATTTCACATCATCATCCATTATCTTTGAATTACTGCATAAAATACGCGAAGATTCAACATATAGTAATTCTAAAAATTTGTCACCCCATTTCAACAGTCCCATAATATCAGGTTTCTTCCCCATTCGTTCTCCGACTGCTCCTGCGTTTCGTCGAGCCTTACTTGCTAGGCTCTGCCGTTCTGCTGTACTTAAACAGATATTACCATTAAGTAGGTCTCCTAAACTCGATCGGAGCAAAGGCAATATAATATCCGAAATATATGTCCCTTCACTTTGCTCACTACGTGATATGCTACTCATGAATACTGGGTTACTCCATGTTTCACCACTAATGAAAGTAAATTAGAAATATTAAAACATTTGCACTTCACAGACTATATAGCACTCTAATACTAACTGCTAAAGAATCAAATAATACTTACAGTGCACCAAGAATTCGTTCGCTAGCTTCCACCAACTTATGTTCGCTTTCTTTCCATTTTTTGTTATGAAAAATATTTCTCGTGGCTTGTGACGTATTCGAAATATTAAACCCACCCACAAATTTATCGCACATCCTTGTAACCGATTCAGGGATAGCGCATTTCATATTCTCCCGCGGTTCCAAAAAAACTTTCTTTTGCCCACGCCCCAAATTTTTTATTAGACCCGAATCATCGCTAAGAATCATATTCGCTTCGGGATCTCGCCACGTAAGTTCTGACGGATTTATATGTTGTAGAGCTTACTTAAGCGATCTGTAAAGATTCGCATCAATCTCTGATCCAGGATGCTTAGTATACAAGTTCATTAACTTTTGGACAAAAAATACCTCACTTTGATGAAATATCTGAGACAAGACATACCTCGAGCTTGTATTTTAACATATTAATATTCGCCACAATCTCCTCATGGCTATAATCAGGGGACAACTCCCTCTCTATATTTAACGCTTTGAATGCTTTCAGACCTTTAATGCTGATATAACCGCTTGAAATCTATGGCAAATGTAATAATAAATTAGTACCGGTACAAGCCAACCTTCACATTATATCTGTTTATATACTAAGCCCGCACATGTGCGTTTTCAGAATTTAAAAATATCACTGTTTTGGCTGATAGTCACGCACAGTTAAGGAGGAGCAAACTCTCGACATCCAGAGGATATCGCTCTTCCGAGCTGGCATTCCCCAACCTACAGCTATGACATACCAAAACTAATACATTCACCAGAGTCATCATTAAATACTAAAGCGATAAATTATAATTTATACTAACTTGGGTTGATACTTCCAAAATCTTCGTTTTTCGTTCGATTTCTTCTATCTTCAAAAGAACTACCCCAGGAGGCTGTGGGTAATTGTTGCAGTAACGTGACTCTGTATTACATCTCTGTCCTGTTAAAATCGTTGCATCTCTGTGTACATTTCGATTTCCTGAAACGAAAATCTTGTGTCGGCTCACTGACTAAATCAGGAATCGCTTGGGAGGACAGTAAATAGATCTACATTTTGTATATCAGCATTGAAAAATTAACATATTGCATTTGGTTAGTATTAGAATAGATAGGACAATAACAAAGAGCTCTTGTTATGCTGAGTTAGGCGTATTCCGTTTATTTATTACTATATTATATATGTTTTGATAAATAACCCAATCCATTCATAAATTTATCTCAATTAAAAATATATTTGCTGTGTAATGATAGGTTTTGATAACATACACAGTGACTCTCTTTATAGTGGACCTCCGCTACAGTGGATTTGGCTTATTGTGGAGGAATGTTAGAAACTTTT